AAAGACTAATACGATCCGCCAGTCGTCACTCTTATTTCAAACCTTCCGAAGTACCCAGGAGAGGGGTACCGCGCACTATTAACCAACCCCTTCATAGACAGATAGAAACCGAAGCAAAAGACACTGCAGGTATTCCAGAAGGCAATAACCACCCGAAACCTACTCCGTAGATCCTCAGAAAGACGTTTTGCACCTCACAATCAGGTTTGTGAATCATGATGATAGAACTCATGGGACTGACTACCATAACTGAGTACATGCATAAGAGTGGTATATAATTGAGATCAAAAAGATTTAAGATGTGTTCTTCCTCCCTACTCCCTGTTCCTCGTTGGGTTGTGGGTCTGGGGTGGAGTCGCACAACTGAACATCCTGTCGACCTCAATTATATACGGCTTGCATACACCAAGTATTAGTGATTAAGCCAAGTATGAGCTCTACCACAAACCTCATAGTAAACCCTTCATCCTATCCCAGAGAATAGGAACTAGAGTCAAGAGGACCACTGCGGATTGAGCTACTAAAATGACCACAAATTCGAAATTTGTTGTCATCCCGATTAAACCAATACAGTAGCCAACACCCTCAGTTGGTAAAGAAGTATGAGTCGTGAGAGTCAAGTACATTGACTATGACCATCTATTCACGCTTAATCCCACGAATTAAGAATCTCAGCAAATATCCCAGAAACTTGAAGGCTCCGATGAGCAAAATGCTGAGAAGAGTGAATGAGGAAATTAGAAATTCCGAGTGACGGAACACTATACTCTCTAAATTTGACCTAGATCGAGAAAACTCAGAACCTTTGGAAGAGTAGTTGAAAAAGAAGCTCGCACTACTCAGGCGCTTCATCCACCCTATTACCGACGAATAGTGCCTAGGACACTCCGCCTCCTCACGTGAAAGGAGTCACCCTCGCCCTGAAGATGATAGGCTGTATTCTTCGAAGTGGATACTAGAATGCCAAGAACCACAGGATAACCTCCGCAGCCAAGAACTCTTGAATCATGTCCAAAGGTAAGTTGCGTTAAGCCTCGTAACCCAAGTCCCGAAGAGATTATAGACTTAACACCAGTCTAGGTGTTAGTCGATGGGTTATACAAGAAAACGCGCTTTGGAACTGGAATAAACTGACACCTCAGAAAATGAGGCATGTCTTAGAGATTCATTAGACTACTAGGTGTTCCAAGAATACTATCTCATACAGAAATAGTAGAACCACCTCCCGAGATAGTCCAAAACTTCAAAAAATCTCTAAGGATTGAGTTAGCCTTGAGCAGAGCTTGCTGTTCATGAAACAACAAGGCAAGTAAACGCAGGATTCTTTCCTGTTAGAAATCATATCATGAAAGCGCCAACTAGACGATGATGAGAAGTCTCAAAACTTCATCAAAACAATCGTCTGGTAAAACCCTATCTCATCAATCCTGAGAGTTCCGTTAGAAACGTCTCAAGAATCAGAAGTGCAGGTTCATTTTGCACAAGATTGAGATAGCCACCCTACAGCAAACAGATACCATAGACATGTAATCCATCTGATGATCTAGAAAACCTCTGAAAGCCAATTGACGGAACCACCAATCCAAGGACAACCCGTGTGAAAGAACATAATTTGTGGTTTGAGCTAGGCATCATTTTGTATAGTTAATTATGTCATTTTGCAGTATTTTGTTGATAGTCATGTAATGTGTGCTACCACACATGTGTGTGTGCGGCCGCACACTGGGTGTGCGGCCGCACACATGTGCTTGGCTGCACACTCTTGGGCTGGTAGGAGGAGTACTATAAATAGCAAATGAGGTGTGTCAGTCTGTACTTTTTGGCCAGAAATCTGTGACGTATGTGTGTGCTTTCCCAATGTGTACCTGACATTTATATGATATTTATGTGTGCATGCTTGATTCAATTCCTTCTTCTTCTCAATCTAAATTTAATAGCAATTAACTTCATTGATTACTAAATTGGATCCTTAATTTTGGGGACTAACAATTGGTATCAGAACCAATTTGGTATCAATTGAAGTTGTTTTTTTTTGTTGAAGGTTTGCTGCCAACTATTGAAGGTTTGCTGCCAACTGTTGAAGGATTACTGCCAACTGTTGAAGGTTTGCTACTGACTTTCAAAGTGTGCGGTTAAGGTGTGTGCGGTTGAAAGGAGTTTGAAGCGGTGATGAAGAAGCGTTTTGAGATGAGTTCTCTTGGGGAAATGACCACGTTTTTGGGGTTTCAGGTCCAACAATCTTCAACCGGAATCCTTATTCATCAGGCAAAATATGTGGCAGATGTACTGGAGAAGTTCGGGTTTCAAGACGCAAAACCTGCTCTTACGCCCATGGCGAAACGGCCTCTTCTGACTCCTGATCTTGAGGGTGAATCTGTTGATCAAACTCATTATCGATCAATGATCGGATCACTCATGTATCTTACTGCTAGTCTCCCAGACGTCATGTTTGCGGTCTGTCAATCTGCTCGCTACCAGGCCAATCCTAAACTCTCTCATTTAATTGCTGTTAAAAGGATTTTTTGGTATCTCAAAGGGTGCCCAAAACTGGGTCTTTGGTATCCGAAAAATCCCGAATTTGATCTCTATGCTTTTGCAGACAGCAATTATGGCGGGTGCGAGCTTGATAGAAAATCGACTTCAGGAGGATGCCAATTTCTGGGAGATAGATTGGTGTCATGGCAGTGCAAGAAACAGCACACAGTCTAAACCTCAACAGCAGAAGCAGAATATGTTGTTGCATCTGCTTGTTGTTCTCAAGTCATCTGGATCCAACATCAATTGTTGGACTACGGTTTAAATTTTCAAGAAACTCCTATTTTTTGTGACAATGAGGCTGCGATTCAAATTGCCAAAAACCCGGTCTTGCACTCAAAAACCAAGCACATCGACATTAAAATTCATTTTATTCGAGAATGTTATGAATGTTTGCTTATTCGGCTAGAACAGGTCCGCTCTGATAATAATGTAGCAGATCTGTTCACCAAGCCTTTTAACAAAGCTCAATTCGATGTGCTGGTTAATTTTCTAAAAATGATTCGTTTTGAGGATTATTTTTTTTTTAAATAAATTTGTGCATTTAATTTCTTTTATGCACAAATTTAGGGGGAGAAAATCCAAAAACATTAAAAAAAAAAAAGAGAAAATCCAAAAACATTAAAAATAGAAAAACCAAAAACATAAAAAATTAGAAAATCCAAAAACATTAAAAAAGAAAATCCAAAAACATTAAAAATACAAAAAACCAAAAACATTAGAAAATAAGAAAAATAAAAAAAAATTATGCTGGTTATAGAATGTATTTAAGGGGTATGGTTTGGGAAGTGATATGATCATGTGATAACAGGCAACCTGAGTCTGTGTAACGTACCCAAAGTTGAAGGGTCTAAGCTCTGGTTCGGTGTGTCGGTAGGCACGAAAGATTCTAAATGGACATAACTAGGCAGAATTGAACTTAGGAAATCAAATGTCTTGACAAATCTTGACCTAGTTAGATCCATTCAGTCTGACAATACGACGCTCGGATAGGTTGAGCAGGGAGATATATATGGGAATCTACTTGTCACATTAATTGAACCTGTACTTGGAACTGTGGTTTAACTTTTCCTCGATGTGCGGATTCTGTCCTTAATTCCGGTTGGATGGGGCGACTGGTAAATTCCGATAAATTAGGTCTGTAGAATATCATTTTCTTTCTTTCCCTCTGTTAGTCATATGTTGTCTCCTTTGCGCGATCTCTAATCCGACCTAGTACACAACATATGCAAGTCTATTTCTCTACAAGCTAGATATATATATATATAAATGTGTGAAATGTGTGAAAAACTTCTTATCTGTTAGCCATATGTTGTCTCCTTTGTGCGACTTCTAATCCGACCTGGTACACAGCATATGCAACCTTCTTATTCTCAACCCCTCTGAAGAATTATGTATCTCTTCTCTCTCTGAATGGTTGTCTGCTAACCCGGTGTAAGGAGTACTCTGGGAGTTCTTGATGGCTGGGGCATATCAGGAAGCGGGAAACACGTTCTAGTACACTTAAAATTGAACATATACAGATTGTCTATAGATCTCGCTGCTTAATTTAGGTGGACAACAATATCCCTGGTCGTCGTCAGCTAAATGGTCCTTAAGATATAGTATCTAGAAACTTAGGATCAGATATAATATCTAGGGATTTAGGTTCACATTGTCTTGTCACTTATAGTATGTCCTATTTTTGTCACAATTTTTCGTGCTTAAGTGGACAACAATACCGACAATCGACCAGACAAAGATGTGAATACGAAAGGTACCGACAAGCAGATAACGGTCGTCTAAAAACTTTGATCCCTAATCCTCAACAGATTAAAGGAATTTATAAAGGTTTAAATTGATTCTTGTCGATTAATAAATTTTTTTAAAATTTTATTTTATTTTATTTTCAATTTTATCTTTAGTTTTATTAAAATTTTATTTTATTATTATTAAAATTTTGAAATTAATAATATTAATCCTCAAAACAATTCCTTTTAAGAAAATTGTGTGCAAAAAGGGGTTTTGGAATAAATGATTAAAAGACAAGGGGGAGAATGTGTAAATTCTGTGAATATATATAGCGTGTGTGCGGTGAGGCTTTTTCACCATTGCCTCAACCGCACACACATATTTTCTCTCTCAAATTTTCTTCAAATTTCAGTAAAAACAAGATCGTACTCGGTAATTATTATGAATGCGGCTGAATTTTTCAAAAATTTTCTATTGTTTGCTGTTTCATTTTAAAAGGGGATGCTTATGCGGCCGCACACATGCGTGTGCGGATGACCGTGTGCGGCCCCACACATGAGTGTGTGGCTGATCGTGTGCTGCCACACAAGCGTGTGCGGCTGACTGTGTGCTGCCACACAAGCGTGTGCGGCTGACAGTGTGCGGTTACATGTTTTTATGAATGTGCAGCTGAACATTTTCTTGTTGCCCTAATTTTTTTTTTCTTTTTTTCATGTGTTTACTGTCAGATTAAAATGGGAGACCAGGAATTTGCTAAAGCTCACAATTCTGCAATTTTTCTTGAAGACCCTCCTGCAGCCCACAAAGACATGAAATTCATTGTGGATGGATTGATGAAATCATGTTTAGTTCATGCCTTAACAACAAGTCCTGCTATCTACCAGAGTTTGATCAAAGAATTTTGGAGAAATGCTGTCGTAAAGAAAAATGGTCAGGGTGACAAATTTGTTGAAGCAACAATTGAAGAAAAGAAAATTCAAGTAACGGAGAGCATCATAAGAGAATCCCTTCAAATATCAGACAAACCTGAGTATACCATGGAAATCGATATTCATCAGACTCAGGATGATTTGGAGCATATGGGTTATGAGGGAACATTTCCCCCTACAATCAAAAAGTTGCTTCCTCCGTGTTGGAAGTATTTGGCTCATGTGTTCGTGAGCTGTATTTCCAGCAGGAGATCTGGAGGTAATGAGATTTCTCTTGCGAACACTGGTGCCATTGCAGCATTGGCTGTAGGTTTTGAGTTTAACTTCTCAAAATTCATTCTGAATGAAATGATTCTAAATCTTGAAGGGAACAAAAGAGATAAATTATGGATGTATCCAAGATTTCTGCAAATCATCCTCAACTTGAATCACGCCGAGCTGCAGAGAGGAAATGATGTTTTAGATTTTAAATCCATTGGTCTAAGTGCTTTTGGGCTAATGAAACAGAAGAGAGGTGGGAAATTTGTTTTTGAAGGAAAATTCCCATTGATAAAATTTGGAATCTTTAAAGAAGATGATGGAGACGAATCGGAAGAACAATCAATGCCAGTGGAAAATGAAGATATCCATCACTCTCCCTCCGAGCCTGAAGTGGAGGAGATTCATCATTCTCCCAGAGCATGTGTAGCTGATGAACATGATTATCAGAAAACAAATGATTCAAGGTCTTCTCGAGGTGATGATGATGATGATATTTATGATGGCGTACAGTTTTTGAATGAATTTGACTTCACTGGAATCAACGATGACGTTCCAACTAACATAGAGTTTGATCTCAATGATGAAGACTTTGATCCTTTTCTCGGTATCTCCAGCAGCCGTGCAAATAAAGTCAATGAAGTTGTTTCTCTAGCAACCAAGACTAGAGCTGAAGAAGATTCTCTCAAAATTCTACTCTCCGCCTCAAAGCCTTTGGAGGTCATAACAAGCCAAGGGGATGTGACTTCAGAGATTCCTCCCTCTGTGTCACTTGTCTCAACATCAGATCCAATCATTTCCGACTTTTCTGAACCTCAAATTTCTTAGACTTCCTTAAGAACAAGCCAATCTTTTGAAAGTCTGTAGATTCCCGCTGTAAAAAGTGCTCCTCAAGTCACATCAACAATCACTGCAACCTTTGCTCACTCTCCTCCAAAGCAGTCTATTGAAGCTCCAAGCACAATGTTCGAGACTGGTGGATCCTCTTATGTTCCAGAATATTCTCCAACTCGACCTTCTCTCGATGAAGCTTCTATCAGACTAGTAAGACATTTGGCTCAATCAAGTCCAACCTCTTCACACGGGAAAGGAATATCATTTAACGAGGGTCGGACAGATGATGACAAATTCTCTTCATCTGATCTTCGAGAGGAAGTTGGAGTTCTTCGACAACAACTCATTGAAAAATCAATTCAGATGGATCAACTTTCTGCATATGTCTTTGAGCTCAGGGAAATGGATGAAGAAAAGACCAAACAAATCAAAGATTTACAAACAAGTCTTGGATCCGTTCTAGCCAGTTATCTTAACCTCAAGAACGTATTGTATGATGCGTTTGGTGAAAAAGTTAAAGCCCTCTTCCAACAACCTCATGGAGTAGATGATCCTCCTTCAGCTCAATCACCTCATGCAACTGATGATCTTCTTGTTGACCCACCTGCTCCAAGAACAACTACCATTGTAGATAGATTTGAAAAAGAACCAGAAGGAAGCAGAGCTAGAATCACAATTAAACAGGGCAAAAGAGTTGTGACTGCAAACCAATGCAAGGGACTTCTGTTCATGAAAAATACAAATGAAAATCGCAAAGCAAAAGAAGCTGCTCTGACTGTAATAGATTTGAAAAAGAGAAAGTTTGGCGATAAGTATGGTGACAGATCTGGTATCCGTATGTGGGCTAAGACTGATCTAGCAGAATTATCTAGAGTTCCCTTTCACAATCCCTCGCAAGATCCAAGTGCATCAAACTTTAAGAGGTTCCTTGATAGGCAGGTCAAAGAAAATTTTCCCAGCATGAAGACTGCCAAAGCCATTTATCGAAAGGATAAGGATGTTATCGACCCAGAAACAGGCGAACCTATGAAGATTATGTTATGGCCTGCTACAAAGAAGCAAAAAGAAATTCCAATCCCTCAGCATTTCCAGGAGGGATATCTTGACAATATGGAATTTTGGGCATACGATGATGAAACTGCAACTGTTGCCATCAAATTCAAGGATCAAGAACGTGTTTTGAGGCTGATCAATGCAAAAGATCTTCTTTGTTTTCGAGAAAGGGACATACGGACTCTGGCTCGTCACCAGATAATCTGCAGAAAAGAAGTAATGGAAGCTGCCGCTAAAGAATACACTGCAATGGTTGCTACAATCATAAATGGAAGGTTGTGGATGGATTCAATGGGGAGATCAGATCTGAGGCTGTTTGAGAAGCCTACTGAGGAGCCAAAGGAATGATGACAAGACTGTGCTAGTCTCAAACCAAGGGGGAGACTGAAAGAACATAATTTGTGGTTTGAGCTAGGCATCATTTTGTATAGTTAATTATGTCATTTTGCAGTATTTTGTTGATAGTCATGTAATGTGTGCTGCCACACATGTGTGTGTGCGGCCGCACACTGGGTGTGCGGCCGCACACATGTGCTTGGCTGCACACTCTTGTGCTGGTAGGAGGAGTACTATAAATAGCAACTGAGGTTTGTCAGTCTGTACTTTTTGGCCAGAAATCTGTGACGTATGTGTGTGCTTTCCCAATGTGTACCTGACATTTATACGATATAAATGTGTGCATGCTTGATTCAATTCCTTCTTCTTTTCAATCTAAATTTAATAGCAATTAACTTCATTGATTACTAAATTCGATCCTTAATTTTGGGGACTAACACCGTGCTTTCTAAGAACCAACATGAAGGACTACACTTCCAGTATGAGAGAGAATGTTTGGAACTTCGGAATAGCGATCACGCCAGTGATGATCACGCCATAGAAGTACACTATGTATTAAGTACTTAAAAGCTCTACTTTTCCGAGAGCTTAGGACCATCCGAGATTCTTTACAAAGATTGGTCCAACCCTTGTCAGACCACTACTACTTTCGGAAATTTCACAAGTTTCACCCCAAATCAACCCACTTCTTAGACTTGATAAGTGTTTGCCCGACGTTACTCTTGTATCCCACTCATCTTGATAGAAACCATTAGGAACCATAACTTCGTAGACGAACTTGTAGGAATCGCTAACTGTACGAGACGGATTCCGCATCCTATAAGTGGGGGTTTGTTAGAATGACAAGCAAATGCCAGAGTTCACTTGGGAATGCGAGGACCAACCGAATAGGAAGTGCCCTCATACTCCTACCTGGTTATTTATGCCACTTCCTTCCCTAAACCTGAATTCCGGGACGAAATTCCCTCTAACGGGGGGATGATGTGACAACCCGAAATTTATTACGTCATTTTTAACCCCTCCATCCGTTAATAAGCCTCGCTTTACTAATTGTCCGTTAACCTTTAGGAAGAGGTTAATTAATTTGGGACTTTTATAATTACTTTGTAAGGGTTGAAATAAATTAGAAACACCACAATATTTCCCTTGAAAATTTTTAGTTTCAACCAAGTCAAAATACGACCATTTAATCGGGTGCGACCAAAAGCCCTGTTTAATGTTAGTATTGGGTAGATTTCCACTGAGACCCAACTCAAACTGCTATATAAGGGTGAGTGGAGTCCATTTGAGACTTTCCACTCTCTCTCTCTCTCTACAACTTATTTTCGAGCCAAAAACGCCCATTCCGAGCCCCAAACTAGTAAGAAATCTATCCTAACTTGTTGTGTAGCTTAGTTAACATACAAATTCGTGTTTAAGATATCAAATAGGGGCAAATCCATGTGTTTACGGCCCAAGAACATTCTTGGACCGTGAACACCCTTAAGTGGGGTTTTTAAGCCCCAAAACCCCTCTAAACTACCCCTAGGGCTTAGATATGACTTGTGGACTTACACCTTCGAGCTTAGAACACTAAAACCTTGCATTTTGGAGAGTAAACATGAGTTTACGGCCCAAGAACACTCTTGGACCGTAAACCCCTCTTCAAGGGCCGTGAACACCTTTTAAGGTGTTAGAAATGCCCTCAAACACCTCCTATGGCCTTGGAAAATGTCTAGAAGCAACCGCCATTGAAGTAAAGTCATTAAACATCAAAGAATCATTAGACATAGGAGTTTACGGCCGTAAACCCCCCTAGGATTGGCCTATGGGCCGTAAACTCCCAAAAGGTGGCCAAATGATGCCCTAACACCCCCATTTGACTTGGAATAATGCTTAGAACTTTATATTCTCTCATTTAAGGCTTAGATCTATGAAGAAAATGACCAAGTGAGAGTTTACAGCTGTAAACTCCTTGTTTAGGTCCGTGAACTCCTTAAATGGTCCATTTGTTGCCTTAAACCCATTCATATGCCTTATATTTGGACATAGCCTAATTCTACGAGTGAGATAAGACTTTAAAGCATCCTAGAACACCCCCACCATGAGTTTATGGCCGTAAACTCATGGGGATATGGTCTTAGGGCCGTATAAAGAGTTTACTCTTGAAGAGTAAACTCCCTATCTAGGCCATACACTCCCTTAGATGTTACCTGGGAGACTCCTAGCACTTAACCAAAGTGTTTTCCGCACTTTAAGATGCGTATATGTGTTTAATTAGTATTATAATTACTAATTGTATGTAAACATATGTCATCATATGTTAATATCTCACTAAGCGTGTTCAAGTCTTTACTTGACACCGAGGACCCAACCGGCACCTACGCCCGATCCACTTACAACAGGTGAGTTCATACCCCTAAATTAACCTTTTAAATGTTTTTACATGCTTTTATGGGGGGAATACATTTTACAAAATGCTAGTTATCATACCAATCATATGTGATTGATAACCCGCATGCACAAGGATTTATTACACTGACGGCTGTTTTACCAAGTATGGTACTATAAATGGTTTTCCAAAACGTCTTTACTTGTTTAAATCTTTTCTAAAATTGACTCTTGCGCTATATGTTTTACTTCGAAACCAGTTACAGCAGTGATTGAAACAAAGGTTTTCTTTACTTATATTGTTTTATCAAAGTTACGTTCAAAACTTGTTTATGAAAGATTTTCAAGGATTTTTAAAGGTCTTCAAACTTATTTTACAAAGGGATATCAAGTCATGATTTTCTTAACTATAAAGGTTCTCCGAAGTTTTCGTCAAGGTTTTCTTCTATGCTTAAACGCTTCTACTTCGTTATGCTTCTACTTCGGTAGATGTTTCCACGTCTTTAAATGCTACTACTTCGTTAAATGCTTTTACGTTGTTAAATGCATGCCTGTACTTGTATAGATATAAAAATATTGTTTAAAGGACTTAGCAAGGCTAGTTCGCCCTATTTCCTTTTCGTCGTTTGGATGTGGTCTGGTAGGTATCAGATATCCGTCCGGAGGTCGTTTAAACATTAATTATGTATCACGTATACATATATGGACATAAAAGGTCTCTCTCTCTCTCTCTCTCTCTCTCTCTCTCTCGCTCTCAACTATTACGTCGCCTAGGGTAGCAAGAGCATAATTCCGTTCATCACTCATAGATCAGGGACACTAGTAACTATTATAGGAATAGATAGGAGAATTTATTCACTCTTTCTAGTACGAGAATTCCACAGGAGTCAGTTCACACGCGAGTCTATTATTTCAAAGGGCTTTGCAAGGATCTTGAAGGAGAAGAGGCTTGGATCAAAGGGCTTTGCAAGGATCCAGATTAATCTTCTCTTGGAGCTTCCTTTTGAGGTATTATTTCATTGTTTGAGCTGCTATTATCTAGATTCATCATTTTTGGAGGTGGTAGAGATCATATTTTTTGGTGTATTGGAGTTTAGAGGGTAGATCTGAGGTTGCTACCTCAGATCTGGAATGGAGAAGGGTTACAATGCATAAAAGTCCCTGTTGATGAGTGATTGAAGGAGCTATCTTGTCCCAAACCCAAACCCTAGAGTGGAAATGCCTAGATCTCCTTG